ACGGAAAATTAAATTATTAGGAATGGATTTAATAGCTACCCAAGTTATACTGGTGTATCCTAGGATGGAACAGTTTACGCTTTTTTTATAAACCACTGTGTGGTTTATAAAACGTAAACTGACCCAACCCAAGTTATACAGTATAACTTTGATAGCTATTAAATTCATTCCTTAGGTAAAATACTGATAGAATATGCATGGTAGGATCAAACCAGATGATGGCTATTTTGCTATCTGTTTCTACATACAAGGGCGTCAATTTTTTGCTGCATTTCCAGTACCAATATGTCTTGAGTTGCCTATAATACAAAATATTGTCAAGTTTAATATCCGTCTTCTTTTGGCGCTTATTTTAAACGCTTTCATGTTATAATTCTTACAATTGTAAATATAGATCTAGATATAGGGAGAGCAGGTCAAAATTGATTATATTGTCTCTATGGTATCCTTTTTATTTCTTATAACTGTTGTTTCCAGTCCTACGTAATGAAGACTGAATTGTCCTATTTCATGAATTTCTTTCCATTCTTTACAGTTGACATTGTTTCATAATATTACTTATTACTATAATTACAAGTATTAAGCATCTGTTTGTCAAAGAAGTTAAAATTAAAGGAGTATTAAAAGGAATTTCAAACGATGTTTAAACAAAAAATTAAGGTAAAATTAGAAGAATATGCAAAATGAATTTTTGAAACGATTTTTTAAAAAAAAAAAACAAGATGTGTTTGTGAAACACTGATGCCCCCGTATGGCAACTTATAGCAAAGGTTAAACTTTCTCAAATGCAAATCAAATATGTTGGTACCCAAAGTAAGGTCTTGTCTCGAGGAATATACCTGTGAAATATGAGACCCCTAGCAGCAACTATTGAAAAGATATGGAAAAGGTTAAAGTTTTTCAAAAGTAAGTCAAACATCAAGGTCGAGGTGAAATGGTAAAAAATAACGGTGCATAAGGAAAGGCCTTCTCACAAGAAATATACTGGTGAAATATGAAAGCTGAATCACCAATCGTTCAAAAGTTATTACCAAGGTTTAAGTTTTAAAAAAGTACGTCAAACTCCAAGGTCAAGGTCATTGGATTACAATTGTTGGTATCCGTAGGAAGGTCTTGTCAAAAGGATTACATATTTGAAGTATGAAAGCCCTAGCACCAACGGTTCAAAAGTTATTGCCAAGGTTAAAGTTTTCAAAAAATGTAGGTCAAACTCCAAGGTCAAGGTCAAAGGGTCAAAGTTGTTGGTATCCAAAGGAATGTCCTGTCACATGGATTACATATGTGAAGTATGAAAGCCCTAGCATCAATTGTTTAAAAAGTAATGGCCAAGGTTAAAGTTTCCCAAAAGTAGGTCAATCTCCAAGGTCAAGGTCAAAGGGTCAAAGCTGTTGGTATCCTATGGAAGGTCTTGTCACAAGGATTATATATGTGAAGAATGAAATCCTTAGCACTAACAGTTCAAAAGTTATGGCCAATGTAAAAGTTTTTCAAAAGTAGGTCAAACTCAAAGGTCAAATTCAAAGGGTCAAAGTTGTTGGTATCCAAAGGAATGTCTTGTCAAAAGGATTACATATGTTAAGTATGAAAGCCTAAGCTCCTACCGTTCAAAAGTTATGGCCAATGTTAAACTTTTCCAAAAGTAGATCAAACTCCAAGGTCAAGGTCAAAGGGTCAAAGTTGTTGGTATCCAAAGGAATGTCTTGTCAAAAGGATTACTATGCTATGTGAAGTATGAAAGCCCTAACTCCAACTGTTAAAAAGTTATGGCCAAGGTTAAAGGTGGGTAAAATTTTGTAGAACTATGTCAAACTCCAAGGTCAAGGTCAAAAGGTCAATTATGGTGGTACCCAAAGAAAGGTCTTGTCACAAAGTATACACATGCGAAATATGAAAGCCATAGCTCCAACCAGTCAAAAGTTATGGGCAATGTTAAAGTTTATGTGGACAAACAGACAAACCGATAAACAGACAGACAGACAGACGAACGGACAGGGCAAAAATTATATACCCCCGAATCTTCGATACGGGGGCATAAAAAAAACTTTCATATTTCTTAGAATGTCTATAAATGTTTTGTCTGTTGGATATTTTATCAGCCATGTTTATGCTATATATATTTCAATGCTTTTTGTATATTGTACAGATTTGTAAAAGAATAAAATGAAATAAAAAGAAATCATCAGATATTTTCATATGGTTTGGAAAAACACAGGGTATTACTGTGACACGTACTCAGCTACAGAAACCAAAGGCAAGAATTAGTATGAACTTGTCAAAAAACGTAAAAATAATTCTGTACGTATATTTTTTAAGAACTTACAATAAGATGCTTTCTTTATTTTGTTAATACAATTGCAAAATTGTACTAGGTTTATCTGTAGCAAGTTATATTTTTTTCTGCAATGGTTGCAACCGTTAGTTCTGAAAAAAAACTCATAGATATTTTATTATTCATACATCAATACCTGTATGAATAATGTTATAAAATAGGTTTATACCTATATAAAGTACGTAAGATATTGTAGTTTTGATTGACATCATGGAATGATTCATTTATGGAAGAGTCCATTGCTTAAGAAATATTTCATACATGTGGCCCTGATAAACCGGCTCTAACAATATAGTTTAAAACTTAGTGCATTTTTCTCCATTTTCACGTCACTTGGCTTGACATATATTAATAATACTGACAACTATATATTAATATAGTTGTCAGTAAATATTTCTGATTTTTCTCTAATACATTTTATATTTTCGTATTTTTCCCAATCGGACTGGTTTTGCAAATTTCAGAATTTTGTACCTCTAGTTTATTAATTAGTCTTTATTCAGTCTTTCTATTTCTACGAGCTTTGAGTTTTAAATACTCAAGTATAAAATCTCTTAGTTTGCATTTAATTATATCCCACTTCAATTGATTTTTGTTTAAATTAGGGTAATTTTCTTTGAGCTCTGCAATTCAACATTTTATTTCCTCTGCAAATACACTGCATCTCATCTCGTAATAAAAAATGTACTTAACTTCCAAAAACCAAACTTCATATTTTCAACATTTTTTGTTAAATTTACATTTAGGATAACTACACTGTGATCTGTTTTATTGATGGTTAAATGTTTTTAGTTCCAAACAGAACAAGAAAAAGCTGGAATTAGGGGAAAAAAGTTTTTGTCCCCCGCTTTCACTGAAAGTGGGGGATATTATTTTGGGTCTGTCTGTCCGTCCCTCCGTCTGTATTTCTGTCTGTCTGTAACACTTTCGTTTCCGCGCGATATCTCGAGAACCCTTTAAGTTTTTGCAATGAAATTTTGCATAGAAACTCCCCATGGACTAGAAAAGAACCCTATTAATTTTGAGGTAAAAAGGTCAAAGGTCAAGGTCATAAATTCTGTCTGTTTTAACACTTTCGTTTCCGCGCGATATCTCGCGAATTCTTTAAGTTGAAATTTCATATAACAACTCCCTATGGCCTAAGGAAGACCTCTATTGATTTTGAGGTCAAAAGGTCAAAGTTCAAGGTCGTAAATTCACAAATTCCGTCTGTGTGTAACACTTTCGTTTCCGGGCAATATCTCAAGAAGCTTTCGAGCTTTTGCAATGAAATTTTATACCATAACTCCCTATGGCATCTCTCCCCCCTCTCAAAGTGTCCCGCCCCGTTTTTTTATTTATTTATTGTATATTTAAAAGTCGCTTGGCACTATTTTTTAGCAAAGGGACATGTGGAGTGTTATTACGTATAATACAGGTTGTCGGCCGACTTTATATTCTAATTACATCTATTAAAACTGTTTAGTAAAGGCTTAATTAGACAATATGTAATGTGTAAAATTTTGACAATATCGAACGTGAATATAAACAGTATATGTGACCTAATGTTTGCATTTAATCAGACTTAACTCAATATGAGTCATATTATGGAATGAGTAGATCAACTTCTTGTTACATAGTCAAAGAAGCATAACTCTTACGACATAATCATTATCATTACTGTGTGTGACCTAGTGTTTGCCTTTAATTTGCTGTATAATCAAGTGCTTCCGTAGGGCTTAGCAAGCGAGAAGCCCGGGTTCAATCCCCGATCGATTCTATTTTTCTTTTTTTAATGGTTTTTTTTTTTGATTTACTAAATGATACTATTCAACATGTGAAATGAAAAAGTTATGATGTCTGGCGTGTACAAACTCATAAAATCATTATTACAGTGTGATAAATATTCTGTATATTAAAAAGAATTTTCTATACGCATATTAAAGAATAAGCGATCAAATCTTTATACCCATATTGGCATTTTTTAAAAATTTGTTTCAATATACATGTATACATTAAAATATTCTATAAATACAGGGGGCAGTGTGAACCCCCCCCCCCCCCCCCAAACTGTCAAAATTTTACACATTACATATTGTCTAATTAAGCCTTTACTAAACAGTTCTAATAGATGTAATTAGAATATAAAGTCGGCCGACAACCTGCAAAATCAATAGAGGTCTTCCTTAGGCCATAGGGAGTTGTTATGTAAAATTTCATTGCAAAAGCTTAAAGAATTCACGAGATATCGCGCAGAAACGAAAGTGTTAAAACAGACAGAATTTATGACCTTGACCTTTGAATTTTTGACCTTAAAATTAATAGGGTTCTTCTTTAGTCCATAGGGAGTTGCTATGTAAAATTTCATTGCAAAAGCTCAAAGGGTTCTCGAAATATCGCGCGGAAACGGAAGAGTTACAGAGAGACAGAAATACAGACCGACGGACGGACAGACAGATCCAAATTAATATCCCCCACTTTCAGTGAAAGCGGGGGACAAAAAAACGACATTTCCTAAGTAGCATATTTACTATAATAAATGTATTAATTTACTCATACAGTACTGTTATAGACATACAAATGGAATGTTATCTTAAAAATCCAATCCACTTGGCCTATATGTCATTTTTGGGGAATAGATATATATGATAAAAGGCTTATATAAAAAATTAGATTTTATTTACAAGTAGCGTCTTTATAAGCATATATAATATATATATGTTCATTTGTACATGTACCTTTTATAAACACATGATAATTTTTGAATTTGATATAGTCTTTATATAATATTCACACATATTCTTCTGCACACTATATAAATGATGGTTGCTTTCACAGATACCTTTATTTACCATGGCAACTCCACAACTTGGAATAAAAAAAATCATTTTACACAATCTTATAGCTCAATGTAGTTTACAAATAAACCATGTTTTATTAAAATCAGACCAGAATTGCTTGAGGATAAATCTTATTAAAGAATTTCTCTGAATCTTTTTGAAACCTTGGCAACATTTCATGTCGAATCTAATAATGTTTTATTGAAATTGTACCAAAGCTGATGATGGAATAGTGTCATGGATTATCCACGATTTTATATTTCTTAAAAACCTTACAGACACACAAACGAACAGGTAGACGGACGCCGACATAAGATCTTAACATCTTACAGGGAGACATATACCTCTTACGGGTTACTTGTTGATAACACATATATAAATACTTTAAAAGAAAGTGGAAAACATTTTCAAATCACAGTTCACGATAAAAGATAAAGTCTTTTGATGTCATAATCTGTCAACAGCCTCGGCATACTGGTGAAGATCTTCATAAGTGGAAGGTTTGTCTAGTGCTCCTAGTTCAGTGTATGGGGAGTTATCCCTATAATAAAAAATGCAATACATGTATATCCAACTGTACATCATAAAGAATATCTATTATAAAAATAGAAGCTTCCAAGTAAAATGCCTCATTAAATATTCATGTTGAAAAGTAAAAATAAATAATACAAACTGTTGTCCACTTTTTGCTTTGTCTGAAAAATACAGTAATTCTTATAATTGTTTTACAAACAAGTAATATACAAAATGCTCTTTTATCAATTTACTTTTTAAATTTACTTATATGCTCTTACATGGGGTAAACCGTCACGGTGGAGGTGTGGTTGCGGCCCTATGCTCCCCAAGGAGCGAACAGAAATAAGTCAAGTCACGGCAGCTCAGTCGGTAGAGCGCTTCTTGATCAGAAGATCGTGGGTTCAAGCCCCGGTCGCTTCAGATCAAACTCAATACAAAAATAAGAAGCAACTGTTCTATGTAAAATGCTCTGCACTTTGAAATCAAAATTGCAGGTTTTTCGGATGAGACCTTAAAATTGAGGACCTTTTTTAACTTTATAAAAAATATGCTATGTAATGTGAATTTCAATATACATGTATATCCATACAAGGAAATTTTGCTTCTAGTGCCACATTAAACGAAGAATAATTTCCAGTGAACTTTAAATAAAAGACACCACAGAGTCTGCCACATATGTTTCATATTTGGGTGCTATACTGATATAGACGATAAGGCCAACTAACAACTAAACTATATGACAGACGAGATGACTTCAGCTTGTCAGTCGTAAACTATATTTATGTAGTATTATCCCGCTTTCACCTACATATGGTGTTCATATCTCCCAACTTATTCGATACCCAAAAGCATGCCCCAAGTACGATCAATTTTTGAACAGAGGGAGGTTACTGACAGATAAGATGATGTTACAGGGATTTTAACAACCTCTTTTAAAGTCAGCATTTCGTAAATTCTATGGTCGTTATAATAACTTGGTTAGCAAATATAACCTTTTATTGGATCGTATTTTGGTTGACTTGTTTCATACTAATTGTTAGGCCTGCCTTTGTTTTTATACTGAATTTGACTACGGAATGTTCCTTCTACTTGCAAAATACGAAGGGCTTACGGCGGTTGTGACCGGTCAACAGGGGATGCTTACTCCTCCTAGGCACCCGATTCCACGCACGTCTGAAATTTCAGGGAGTCCGTGCTTTATGGTCTGATCATAGATTTGTATTGTTTACCAGTGTCGATTATTTTTAGATCGACCACTGTTCGCTTCGTTTGTTTTTAAGCAATTTACCTATTTAATGTTACATTAACTTCTTTACACAAAGGATGTTATTGAAGGCATCGTAAAAGAAAAGAGACTGTTTTCTCTACTGTGTTTCAAACACTGGAAAAAAATTACAATATGAGTGATTTACATATACATATAGTATGTTCTTACCTGTATCGTCAATAGCTTTCTGATCACCTTTAGACTTGCGTTGTCTGAAGGAAAAATGCCGCGGGATTATTCATAAAGGTCACATACCTTAAAAAAACTTGCATATGCATTTTTATATGTATATTGACAAAATACATAAAACCTACCTTCTCACTGCACTAATTGCTGAAAAAAATATTGCTACTGGTTATTAATATATTATTATCAAATAAGATAATTTGAATATTAAAAAAGAAGATAAATCTTACCAGAAAAGCAAATAGATGAACACAATCAGAAGTTTCAGATGAGACTGTAGCTCTACTGGTGTAAATTTATAATAAATTTTATTTTTGTACAGTATACTGGTGTACTAAGTCTTTTTAAAATCAGACCAAAACTGTAGAAGTAGTATTTTAAGGAAATGTCAAGGAATTATTTTAATAGACAAGGCAACACTGTTATTGGAATCGAAAACCTGTGTATAGAATAATCTCAAAATACTAGTAATCTACTTTTGTACAAAGTCTTTTTATTAAATTGGACAATATCTTATATAGGAAAAAGTCTTATTTGATATGGATCAAAAATGTAAGAGAAATAGCATTTAAAAAAGATTACAGAAATTTCGATTTTTTGTAGCCACGACATCACCGTTCATCAAAATCAAAAAGCCTATACACAGAATTATTTATCTTTGTATAGTCTTATCAAGTCTTACCGAGATCGAACCAAAACTGTTGGAGGAGTAGCGTTTGTATGAATTTCACAAAAAATATCTATATTAAATAACCATTGCAACAGCTGTCTTCCAAATTAAAAACTATATATAAAATTATGTATTATAGTTAAGTTTACTTGTGCACAAAGTCTTATAGGAGTAGTAGCCATTTGCAGAATTGAGTACGGACGAACACACAGACAGACGGACAACGGACACCTTACTAATGTATAAGATCTTCTCATCTTCGATCAGTAGAGGTAATAAATTACAAGCTGACTCAAGCTTATAAAACACAGTCTACCACAGAAGGAATGAAGAAACATTTTTATACATTGTATTTACCTGCATACAACATTATGTTCTGAAAAAAACTCTTCATTCTATAGGCTCCATTCAAACATCAAGTAAAAATTAACAAGTAGGATGAAATGAACTTTTTGATGACTACAACCACTGACATTGCTTTTATACAATCCATTTACTCACACTGGTTCCTCTTCCATAGTATGAAATTTATCACACTTCCGGTAAGAACAATTACAAGCGAGACAACAGCGCTGATAATGATACTGGTGTTGTCACTGATACATTTAGGAAGATTTATGGCGGAGTCTTCTGTAATTGAACATATTGACAAATTGGGATCAGATGTTAAGGCACATATTTAAGAAAACAACATTTTTATTTTTATTTATTATTTTGTTATCATTCTACATGTGTAGATTATCTACAAGAGAAATAAATATCATTAATTTACAGGATAAAAAATAAATATTATGAAAATCCACTTGTACATTTAAAGGGCAGATGGACCACTTCATAATCACTGCACATAATTTTAAACGTTGAGATTAAAAAAAAAATAAGCAAATTAGTAGGATACAACTACTATGCAGATATACCTTCATTACAGAGAGCTCCATACAGTCCCTCTATACAGCCATTGTAACATACACCGGTAATGGAATCACATGTTTTGTTTCCTCTGCAGTAGGTCATACAATTCCCCTGGCAGTGTACACCAAAGTATCCGGGAGGACATTCTGTCAAGTCATTATATAAGTATTGATTAGGTATTTACTTCATCAAATGTCAAAATTTATTAAGCATATTCTTGTACATGTAAATGATGATTGTCTGTTCACACAAAAATTACTTAGGTTGTGTTTCAAGATTTGAAATTATTTTCTCTTTCAGGAAAGAGAAGTCAGTGTGGAAAAGTTGTTTTGTATAAATCGGCAGATATTTCGATGCGTATGATGAAAACAATATTTAAGTGTAGGCAAATTCAAGAAAAAATACCGCCGAAATATGGCTGAAAGATTGCCGACTCGGCGTAAAACAACAATAATCAATCAATGAAGAAAAAATACAATTTGAAACAGGTTTAATGCTGCACAGAAAGCTTTGTCCCTCAGAATATTTTAGAGTATTTTCAGTTCAATTCAAGTCTTCTGATAATAAACGAATACCTAATGAAAATAATAAAAATTTTCTCGAAAAAGGCGTTTTAAAACATATATCAACAATATTTTAATGTATATCACTTACGCAAAATAACAGACAATATCACTTTAATTCATTACCTTTGTCACAGAGAATTCCCATGAATCCCGGAGAACACCCCTTTAAACATGCACCGTTAACTTTGTCACAATGTGATCCTTCAAGACAATGTCCACAACTCTGATTGCAGTTATAACCATACTTTCCATCGTTACATTCTAAAATAAATAATCATTTAGTAGATTTTCCTGAATAACTGGGTTTAAAAGACTTTCAAAGATATGTACTTTTAAGTGCAATACATGGCGATGGTTTTAATTTCACTTTGTCAGAATATTCCGAAAAACCTTAAACCATCCTGAATATTGTCAATATCTATGTATCTAATACAAGTACGTTAATACAAAATCCTGTCTCACGAGTGATAAATTCCATATCTAACTACAAAATACTGAATTTTTTGTTTATTACATTTTCTTTCATTCTCCCTTTGCCTCTGTCTTTTCGTTACACAATGTTATGGGCTGTGACGTCATAGTAGAGCGGTTCAGATGTCATAACTTAGCAATATTGTGAGATTGAAAACACTGTAAATATTGGATTTCAACAACAGAGAAGCTTTGGCAATTGTGGTCTCTTTCAGGATGGTTTATTTATTCTATCTTATAAGAGGCCAGGGAGTACATTTTACAATATTCTTCAGGAAGGGAAAGAAAATCGAGTGATTTCCCAAAAATCTGTTATTCTGTCATACTGTGACAGAATATCACTTTGATAGTCTTTAATACTGTGACAGAATATCACTTTTATTCAATAAATAAATTACAATATTTCAGTGTGGAAAATGTAATAGAAAATGCTACAGAACTCTTCCGGCAAATTATTTTAAACATTAATTTTGATATATTTGTTCATTACATTTGCAAATCTCTCCTACAACAAGCTTGAAAGTGAATACAAAAACAAATAGTCGCCCACGTGGCGCAGTGGTTACAGCGTTCGCTCTAGAGTCGCGGAGTGAGGAATTGATCCTTACGTCGCGGGTTCGAATCCCACTGTGGGACGTGGAGACCGGTCCTTCGGATGAGACCGTATAAACCGAGGTCCTGTGTCGCAGTAGGTGCTGGCACGAAAAGGATCCCTCACTGCTCAATGGCCCTAGGTGCCGAGTATAGGTCAAAAATTTGTAGCTCTCCACCGGCAAGTGGTGGCGTCTCCATATGAGTGAAAAATTCTCGAGAGGGACGTTAAACAATAAACAAACAAACAAACAAACAACAAAAACAAATAAGCAACCAACAAACATTCTGATATTTGACAGTATCTGAAGTAACAAGCCTATTTTCTTTACCTTCGTTACAGTCGAGATTTTTCCAACCATGACTACATCCTCCTACACATGCACCATTAAACCTGTTACAATGACTTGACACATAGCAATTACCACTGCAATTCTGTAGGCAATTTTCTCCATAGCGTCCTACTTGGCATTCTGTTTAAGTAAATATTTGTATCAGTCAGAGGGAGTCTATTCTTGTAAATATTTCCACATATACATAGTTTTTTCACTGTTCGATCATGAGGACCTATTTAGTTAATTTGATAGAATTATAAGAACTAGGCAATGTAGATCAATTTTTCTGCTAACAAGATTTCCAAGCGTTTGCCCGCCCCACTTTTTCATGAAGGAATGGAGTCAGTCGAAAGTCTTCTTCAGGAATTTTGTAAATGAAAATAAATGTATACATTTTATTGGGTACTTATCATCTAGCACAAATAATCAGGATAAGAATTCAGAATCCCCCCCCTCCCTCCTTTCAACAACCATCAAAAGTAGTTCACACTTTATACATTTTATAAAAAGACAAGTCAGCAGTGATCTGTAGTCATTTTAAAATATATTGGATAGAAAGAAGTATGATTTTGTCTCTGAAAACCCTTAAAAAATTGTTGATACAAAATAAATCCCCACATTCAACTTCAAGGCATTTACAGGTGTAAACTGTATTACTTGAATGACATGGCGTGCAAAAATATAGTAGGAACTTCATATTTTTTCAAAAATAAAATATCATATTAATTATATTACAATTGTCCTCCATTTTGTTTCTTATTTACAAATCATAATTTCTTTTTTTTTTGTTTTTAATTTTGTTGAAAGTAAGTATGAATTTAAGATGATGTGAAAAGAGCACAAGAGAAGAAATCTCTCATGCAAGAGATCTGCTCACGTGTCTGACATTTGTTCCCCTGCACGCCTTCCTTACAGCCACTGAGACACGTGCCATTGGTATTGTCACAGGATCCCGGATCACTACAGTTTCCACATAAAAAAGAACACTCCAGTCCATATGTTTCTATATTACACGCTGAAACGAGAGGTAAACCTTGTTCAAAAAGTTTATTACGTAGTACCACGTCAATACAGAATGATTAACAATTTTTATTATTCCGTGAACCCTAACAGGAAAGCCAGGTCTTGCGTTGCTGTTTTGTTGCAAAGAAATTTTTATGTCTGACTTAAAATCACCTTGTACGAATTCCAATGTTTAATACCGGTACTAATCTATTAATTTTACCTTTATTTCATTATGAACTTCTCTGTAAAGAAAATATATTAAGAAGGGAATTTTCCTTTTTTCATATTATTGTGAAAATGGAAAGGATACATTATGTTTGACTGTTTTCAACGAAATGTCATTATAATAATCATCTCCCAAGTATATTAAAAAGATGCTTGAGTTTCTGATTGACAATATCTATGTGGTTTTTGGAGACCAGGTCTTCAAACTATCTATAGGAATTTCCATGGGTACCTATTGTGCCCCGTTATTAGCAGACCTATTTATGTATTCATCTGAAGCACAATTTGTTCAAAATCTTATACGTGAAAAGAAGAAAACACTTGCTGTGGCCTTCAACTCGACATTTAGATATATCGAGGACATAATGTCAATCAACAATGGTTGTTTCCATTCTTATGTCGATAGATATATCCCGGTGAGCTTGAAATAAAAGATATCACAGAGTCTTACACATCTGTTTCATATTTGGATATTTTACTAGAAAAAGATGTTAATGGTAATCTAACGACAAGGTTTATGATAAACGTGATGACTTTAACTTTTCAATCGTCAACTTCCCTTACTTATGCAGCAATATACCTTCAACACCTGTATACGGGGTATATATCTCTCAGTTGATTTGATATGCAAGAGCATTTTCTCCGTATGAACAATTTCTAAAAGGAGGTAAATTATTGACAAACAAGTTGATGAAACAAGAATATCAGCAGTCTCGTTTAAAGTCGTCATTTCATAAGTTCTATGGTTGATACAATGACCTTGTCAGCAAATACAATATATCATTAAGTCAAATGTTGACTGACGTCTTTCATACCAATTGTTAGGCCATTATTTACACACTGCATTGTCGACGGATTTTTCTGTTATTTCTCAATCATAACAAGAACACAGCGGGTGTGACCGGTCGGCAGGGGATGCTCACTCCTCCATGGCACCTGATCCCACCTCTGATGTTTTAGACGTCCGTGTTTCCTCTGCTCCAAAATTTGTATTGTTTAATGGACGCGTTTGAGCTTGAATACTGTTCGTTATTTCCATGTATTTCAAGTAAAATAAATTCCACTGTAAACTAATTCTTTATATTGTCAAAGTTCATACTTTGATTTACTATTATGAATACAATAAACCTTTGATTTCATTTTAAAAGAGCTAAAAACTGTGATTTTCAAAATTAACAGTCATATAATAATAATAATAAAAATATTAACGTCGTTGAACAAAATGGAACCAGGTACACATGCTATAAAGAATGAAAGTGGATGCATGAATACGAGGGTTGTCCAAAAAGTTCGTGGACAATGGACATTTTTGTCAAAATGAATGGTTCAAAATATGCCTATTTTATACCAAAATATTAGTTATGAAAATCCAAGTCGGAATAGTTTGGTTTTTATTGTTTGAACTTAATATTTTTGCAAAAATCTCGGTCATTAAAGGTCGCCGATAGTGCGCACGGAACAGGGTTAAAATGCCATGGACTTTTAAATAAAGTGATCTGATTGAAATGATTATTTTCTTTTTAAAATTAAACAAGTTAAAGCTGAATAAAAATTTAATATATCACAATTAAAGCGGTTATCGCCATTTTCTGATACCTTTAGTATCGCTTACTAAATAAACAATGAAAATATTAAGTGAAAACCGCAAGAAGTATGTTTCAAAAATTGACAGAAAAAGCGACGTCGGTCATCCGAACGGGACAGCGTCCAATCATACAATAATGGTTAATATGGTTGAAACGTCGACAAAAAACAAAATATTTATTCAAACAACTTAAATTTATTGGAAAATATTTAGTCTAGTGATTTGTAATTGGTGTATACGATTTTTCAACGGTGTGTAAAATTACGGAGACACTACAAGAAGTGGAAAACCACTGTTATTTGATGAAAATAGGATATATATCCTATTCATGACGTTGTTATAAATATAGCGCCGTCGGACTTGGCATCCTATCTTTACGAAGTGTTAATATTGATGACGCTCGTAAATTATTGTGTATCGTTTTGAATTTTAAAATTTAAATTAATGATAATCTATACATAAATATTATTGCATACATTTGGCAATGTGGCATAATAAAGAAAAATAGCGTGCGTCTATGAACATGCGATAAAAAAATCAAAATTCATATTTCTGACGTTATCATGAAATAAGCGTTACGTCAGACTGGCCCGTGCGACTTGCATATACAAAGTATTTACACCTATAATGTTCAGTAAATAGTGTGCATTGTTTTAATTTTTTGTACATTTACTCAATCATGGTCTATATTAAGATATCATCGTACATGTTTGCCATTGCGGACTTTATAAGGAAAATTAAGCATTTGTCCACGAACTTTTGGACAACCCTCGTATGTGTTTATATTTAAAATTATATATTGGTTACATATGATGCAAATATCAAATGTCTTTAAAATATCTAGAAATTGCAGACTTCCTATAACGTTCACATTCCTTCTTTTCTGTAAAGAACCCTATAAATCTACAAAGTAGACAATTTTTTTTTATCAATTATCAGTTTTTTATAACTTGTCCTTTAGGAAAAAAGTTTTTACAAGCAAAGTAGTTTTCTATCGTGAAGTTGTATATGGTATCACTGTTATTTACTATACTTGAAAAAAATGAGGTACTATTGTGAAAAATTTGTTACTTTAACAAAAACTAAAGGAACAAAACTTGTTTATTATAGCGAAAATCAAAAAACGGTAATTTACACCAGTAACGATATTGGTTCTTTTTTATTTCCTAGGTTTCCTTCAGTTTTTTTTTCTTAGGATACTTTGCTTGTTTATGTATGATAGCCTGTGGTTGACTTCCAAGACCAGTGAATTTATTCTGAAAATAAAGTTTTCCATAATATTAAAAAGATAAGATAGCGGTAATAAGTAAAATCTAAACCACTGTACCCTGACTACACTTGGGACCTTGATATCCCGGAATACAACCCAGGCATTCTCCTGTAGAGATGTTACATCTTTGTTCCTGACAATTTTCTGGACAGGGCACGTCACAATTCTCTCCATAATATCTCTGAACAGGGCATCCTGATTTACGTATAAATGTTTTATTCTGCTTTGCAAAATATATAACTAACAAATATTCAAGCAAACTAGTTTTTTTCTTCTTAAACGCTTACCATAAACTTCAACTTCACATAATTCATTGAAAACATATTGAGAATAGAAACTGGGATACGTCACATCCGGTCTACGTTCGTTGTAGAATATGACGTAACGTCCATGTACAGGACAGCGTATTGTCTGGTTCTCTGTTGGTGTACCGGATACTGTTTGTATTTCATGGAAACAAAGATAGCCGCTGTCCTTGGACGTTGTATTTGAAACGTATAAGAAAAAACCAGCAAATCTAGTAGTGTAAGGCGATGGGCCTGCAAAACAGGAATGCAAACTCAGTTAAAAATATATTAAGCTTCTTTTTTTTTCAAAAGTAAGGAGTCCAAAGAATGTATTTATATCAATAATGCCGCTACTCAATATGTGCATGATTTATTACACCGTTACAACGTAGACTGATTGTATGTTGTTTTACTTCCTATCTGATTTTTTTTTCACTTATAAAGCGACACCACCATAGACAGGTGAAGGGTTTTAAATTAGATCTGTAAAGGGCATTCAGGGTAATTGAGCAGTGAGGGTTCTTATCCTGCCAACGCCTTTCGTGACATGGGATTTTCGTTTTTAAGGTCTCATCCGAAAGAATCGTGAATTTCATATCTAATGCCGGACCCTTGTTGAAGAATGGACTACAAATCTCAAAAATAACAGGTATGCAGATGTTAAGAAAGTATTTTCTGTCAAACAGCGACCTTCTAATTACTCAAAGAATATGTATGTTACAAAGTCTAAATTAACATTTGTTTAAGTCATGCACGCCTTGAAATATCATTTTATGTAATCTTACAAGATTTCAATTTGTACGAAAGAGAGGGTTGTGTGAATGAGGTGTGACCATTGCCAATGTCAAGCTTACGACAAGAAGAGTATAAAGGTTTCAGATATACGAAGCTTAAACTTTTATGATTTGAAACACAAAACTTTTGTATGGTACACCTGGAGGTTAATAGATGAAATAGCCCACGAAACACCTGATCCCACCTCTGGTGTTCACAGGGATCCGAGTTTGTTTTTTTTTTGTCCTGTTCACGATTCGTCTCTGTACCGGATTCATGACATTGACACTGTGCTTATTGTTACCTTTTATAAACTTAAAACAAGATGTGTTTGTGAAACACTGATGCCCCCGTATGGCAGCTTATGGCGAAGGTTAAAGTTTCTCAAATGGAAGTCAAAATCCAGGCCAAAAGATAAAAAATGTTGATACCCAAAGACTTGTCTCGAGGAATATACCTGTGAAATTTGAAAGACCTAGCTGCGACTGTTCAAAAGTTATGGCGAAGGTTAAAGTTTTTTAAATAAAAGTCAAACGTCAAGGTCAAGGTCAAAGTGGTTGGAATCCAAAGGAAGATCAAAGGGTCAAAGTGGTTGGTATCCAAAGGAAGGTCGTGTCACAAGGATTACATATGTGAAGAATGAAAGCCCTAGCACCAATCATTCAAAAGTTATGGCCAAGGTTAAAGTTTTTCAAAAGTAGGTCAAACTTCTAGGTCAAGGTCAAAGGGTCAAAGGGGTTGATATCCAGAGGAAGGTCTTGTCACAAGGATTAAATATGTGAAGTTTGAAACCCCAAGCACCAACTGTTCAAAAGTTATGGCCAAGGTTAAAGTTTTTCAAAAGTAGGTCAAACTCCTAGGTCAAGGTTAAAAGGTCAAAGTTGTTGGTATCCAAAGGAAGGTCTTGTCACAAAGAATACACATGTGAAGTTTGAAAACCCAAGCACCAACTGTTCAGAAGTTATGGCCAAGGTTAAAGTCTCATAAAATTTTGCAAAAGTGGGTGAAACTCCAAGGTCAAGGTCAAAAGGTCAAATATGATGGTACCCAAAGAAAGGTCTTGTCACAAGGAATACACATGTGAAATATGAAAGCCATATCTCCAACCAATCAAAAGTTATGGGCAAGGTTAAAGTTGACAACAGACAGACAGACAAACAGATAAACAGACAGACAGGACAAAAACAATATACCCCCGGGATCTTTCGATCCGGGGGCATAAAAAATCTTTCAGACTGCTTTAAAAACTAGTTTAGTGCTAATCAGTTGACAGAAACAATAAGATTTTTTTATGAAGAAAAAAAAATCGCAGGGGGTGTAATTATATTTAGTAGTATATGCGTATGTGTCTAAAAGATTGATTTTAAGGTACATACATCCTTTTAGTTGCGTTTCTTATGGAGTGATATTATGCATTATTGTCCACATACTAGGAAGATTATCCGTCCTGTAGTAGATGTTGATGTGACTGATGCTGACCACTTCCTGAAGGTCCACTCTCCACTCAGCAGTTACTCTTCCGTCGCCTGCTATTGAGCATTGGTTTCCTCCTGCTGAGCGGTCAGTATACAACCCATCTACCGCTTTTGCTGCTCCCCATGCTACAGGCTTATCAGGCCAATTAGTCTGTTGCCATGCAGGTTTATTCAAAGCTAAATTTTCTTTACAAGAAAAGAAGCTATAAGTTTAAATTTAGAATAGTTTATCTTCAGCTTCTACCATTCTGTATGATTTGCACAAACTTGAGATTAAACAAGGTGAGGAAGCTTTCACGTAGATCTTCTGAAGACATTTGAAGAGACCTATTTTTGAAGTTTTTATCACTTCTCTAAGTAACAAATAACTTCTTAAACATAGGCTACTACTGAGTAATGCAGACGCCGTTACATAGTTATTTATTGAGAAATATCTATGTCCCCCTTCGGAGGAGGGAGGGCATATTGCTTTGCTGCTGTCTGTCGGTCTGTCTGTCTGTCAGTCCACCAACATTTTCCGTTCATTTTCTTCGCAGAATAGTCAATTAAAATTAGTGACAACAAAAAAGTTTAAAAAACCTTCGCATAGTCAATTATTTGTCTTTTCTGCACTCAAAAAATGTCATTATTCTGGCATTAAAAATTTAACAAACAATAAAATCATTTGAAAGTAATGACATTTTTCTGAATTTAAGCAGAATGGGTAAAATAATATCATATATTCAGAAGAGAAAATAAAAAGTGGGGGCCTGTGATATTAATTTTTAGATATTACTAAAAAGCTGTTAATTTTAAGCTTAAATTGGACTATTTTCCCCCAGGACTTTCATAAAATATTTGCTATGTTTGCCAAATATGATGATACATGTAGAATTCATGACAGTTAATTTACTATGTAATTCAGAACCAGTATAAAACAGTTCACTGCACCAAATAACTCTGTGTGCAGGCTGCATGGAAAAATAGGAATCCAAACTTAACAATACTGTAAATACTTCGAAAGAGAAAAATTGAATTCTTCTTCTTAAAAACCTTCCTCCACAAAATATAGTACCTCACTAAATGTTTTCGGTATGGAATTTAATCATGGGGATTTATTGAATACAGTTTAATTAGCATAGTAAAATCCAAATCTTTTGTAATAACTAAAACTTATGTAGAATTTATTTTTTAAATAGAGGTCAAGACAAAAATCTGCTCAAAAGCTGAGGAGCAAACCTCTTTAACGATCATTGTATTTCCATTTGATAAATTGTATATATTACCTTGTTATTGAAACAAGATATGTTTCTGTGCATAATCTAGAAAATAAGCAATATGATAAAAAAATCTTTCAATGCATTTGACCTTTTTGTTCATAAATACAGAGAGAGAAAGAGAGAGAGAGCAATCTTTATGAATCTTAGCTAATGAAACTCACCAAAGGCCCAAGAATATCTGGCAATCAGGAATATCCAAATCGTGATAAGAATCATTCCGTCTTGAAAATCAATTAAATGTACAATAAGTAAATAGGTTAAAAGATTATAGTAATCTATGTTATTTTCTTTCATTTTAAATTCAATTGATCACTTCTGCCTAGGAAAGCCATGAAATATATTAATACCTTTTATAACCCGATGTTTGTTCCATGGGGTTTCTTATACATGCCTTTATCAATCATTGCTTCCTAGTAAATAATAAACATTCTCTTGATCTCTTCAAGCGTATGCAATAGCGATGTATTTGTGCAATATATTATAACATACCTTTTTTCAAAGTTTCAATACCGTGGTTATAATAGCATATCCTTCGGATTAACAATAAACTTTAATTACCTTGTTGGAATGAAATAAGTATCAGAAAATATAAACATTAACTTGCACCATAGCAGCAGGAATTGTTAAAATAGTGGGAGAGAAAAACATCACTTTCATTCAAATTTTTCTTCAATTCCATTCAAGGATGTTTGTTTACACATATGTTGTATTCAATTATATTTCGTAATAAATCTCTAAACACCGGGGCATATTGTTTTAATACATTGTTGACTTTGGATAAACACAATATATTAATTTGCATCTCGTAAGTGAATTTTTTACTGCGTACAACTAATACAAGTGTATCTAAGTGTCCCTTGCGAGGTAAAGAGAAGTTTAAAAGAAATAGGATAAAAAAAAACCCGGAAGATTAAACTTGCCTTATTTCATAAATGCAGGAAAAAAACAATCGAGCATTTGACAAAACACTGTACATTTTGTTCAGTGAATTCCTTTTTTGCTGTACAGCTAATACAAGTATGTGTAAGTGTCACTTGTGAGAGATTGAGAAAGAGAAGTTTAAAAGTTTAAGATAAAAACCCTGAAGATAAAATGTTACCCCCCCCCCCCCCCCAAAAAAAAAAAATAATAATAAAAATAACAAGAGGCCCAGGGCCCACATCGCTCACTTGAACACTTTGGCTAGGAAAATCAGAAATCAGTTCAGTTTCGAAAAGTTTAAATATAAAAGTTGTTCGGAGGGGGGGGGGTGTATGATTTGAACAAACTCGAATCTACACTTCCTAGGGATGCTTTTGACTTAATATGACAGTAACGACATTTGATCACCCAATGTGGGCCCCATCCTACCTCCGGGAATCCTGATTTGAACAAACTTGATTCTACACTACCTGAGGATGCTTCCATATAAATATGATCAAACATGGCTTTGCTGTTCCTGTTAATTTTTTCACGAATTCATAATTATCTCCCCTTGGAAGAAGGCATGGCCCTTCATTTGAACAAACTTGATTCCCTTTACCCTAGGATACTTTGTAGCTAGTTTGGTTGAAATTGGCCTAGTGGTTCTTGAGAAGAAGATGAAAATGTGAAAAGTTTACGACAACTACGACAGACAACGGGCAAATTTTGATAAGAAAACCTCACTTGAGCCTTCGGCTCAGGTGAGCTAAAAAGAGATAATACAAATGCATGGTGAAGATAAAGAGCAGTGGTCAATTTCTTAAATGTAGTAAAGAAAATGAATCACGAATTGGGCTAAAATACGGACCCCTAAAAACACCAATAGTGGATTCGGGTACCTAAGAGTAAACTGGCTACACCACCGTGGGTCCTGTTATATTAATCAGGTAGAGTAATCCGTGTACAAGTTTAGTATAAAATCAATGACTCGACAATTGGTTAGAAATATGTAAGACAACATACAACCCAGTATTAACGAACAAGGTCGTTATAAAGACCGTTGATAGGCAAAAAGCTGGATTGCTGAAAATATTGTAACATCATTTTATTTCACAGTAGCTTGCTTAGGTGTAAGAGTCGATCCTACTCAAAGCATGCTCCAGCGTATCGAATCAGTTGAGAACATAAACAATCATATGCATGTGATGTTGGAATATTTCTACATGCTATAAATACTGCTCATACTGTAAACCACCTTTTATAATATAATTTTATTTCGCGATTTGTTAATTTGAAATCTCACCTCAACGACTTTAATTCGCGCCTGAGGAAGTATTCTTCGTAGCTACACAATGAACTTAACAGTTTGCGAAGTTAGAAATTATAAGCAAGTAAATAAATGTCTAGTAAATAGCGGATATTTCTTGCCTGCGAAAAGGTGGTTTAGAGATTAGTAAGGGAAATACGATGGCAAAGATAAAGTCATACAGTTTTGTTATTTGTTGGCCGTTGGCGCCTATTGTCAGTAAAACATCCAGATCTGAAGCATTCGTACCAGACGGCGTTGTGTCTCCTATTTCTAGTTTACTTGGATATTTCTAATCGACAAATAAATGTAAACTGAGATGATACATTTGTCTGATGATTATAATTCAGATATGCAGCACGGGGAGGGTCAGTTTAAAAGAATTCATAATAAAGCATAGCTTAAAATTTCATTTCAACGTAACTTGTAGCTGTTTAAAAAGTTGAATTTTATTTTACACTTGACCTACAGCTAAAAAAAAATAAAAAATACAGCTGTTTATTTAAAAAGCAATACTTTTCTCTCTAGGTTTGAGGATTTATTGAGAAAATAATTGTAAATTATAAATTGTAATAATAATATGAAGTTTCCTTGCAGAATTATTGACTACATCATTTTGGTTTGCTAGCATTATTTCCACGAACCACCTCTCCTACGAACATCAAAGATTTATTTCAATACATCGAAAGGTATAAGTACGTATGATGTAGCATTGTTCACATATCACGCATTATCGCAGAGATCTTTACTCTGTATATATTAATCAATAATCCTTCAAAACACTCATGCGACCAGTAAGGAAACTTTTATTGCCCTCTCACTCCTGAGCATATTAAATAGTTTCAAACAAGTTTACCTACCTTTTCTGAATTCAAATTGAATGTTTTGACTGTGATTTTATCCCGGAAGTTAAATACCGATAACCACACGAGAAATATAAGCACAATTTAACACTCCATAGCATTTTTTTTTATCAAAAGAGCGTATCTTCACCAATATTTGGTTGAAATAGACTAATTTGTAATACTTAGATCTTTGCCTGATACCTATAATTCGCTAAGACTAAATAACACTTCGTAAGTGTATGAATACCGCACACTCCGTGTGTTTGGCGCCGGTACTTGTGCACTTTAATGACTCAGTTAAATCATTTGTAGATCATATCTCTGGTTTAAACTAGGTCATCTGTTCTCTGTGGTAAATATAAATGACGCTGCATTCATTAAAATCAGACTTATTGTTACGTGGAAATGCAAAAAGCGAAACGTTCTTTCAATAAGTTTATTGATGTATGCAATTTTCAAAACTCACCATATTTCTTTTATTTGACTCTTTTTAATTTAGGTATAGGGAGACCTTAACACAAGGGGGGTAAACCTTTCCCAGTATACATTTTCAAAGAGTTTCAAGCATCAGCATAACAAATCTTAACAGAGTAAGGCAATTTTTTTCTGAGAAAAATTTATTTGTTTGAAAATAATAGTTTGGGCACTGTCACATATATTTTTATCAAATTCCATAACTTATATTATAATGTAAATTTTGAAATGGAAAAATTTACAAAATAAGCTTTCTGTTCCAAGGTAGAATCGAAATTCTCTTTTAAATAAAAAGCTGTAAATTTATCTTCTTAAATCCAGCAGGAGTAAAGGAATACAATTGCAGAACAATGCTTTTTAATCTCCAATCCTTTAGTAAAACAGGACTTATGGATAAAATAAAATACATGCTTGAAAGTATTGATATTCTTGAATCATCAAATTATGGTTTGTTTTTTTTTAAAAATAAGACTTACTTTAACTTTTTTTTAACGTTAAGGCAATTAATACCATTGTGTTTTGAGGCCATCCTTTAAAAAAAAAATGTTTTTTGTACTCTCCCGACCGACTGGCTAAAAAGAAAATCCCAACTCAAAACTTTTTTTTAACTTCCAGGAAGCCATTATTTATTTTTATACATTGTGGTAAATAGATTTTGAAATTTCCGCATTGATGTTGAAATTTTCTGGGGAAAAAAATTTATCACCTACCTACAGACCTATTTTTTTTCATCCTGAGCCGGGAAAGGGCAAGCAAACATTATTTTAAAGTTGGTCTCTTTTATAACTTTTCTCACTCTACAGATAATACATTAGACCTCTGAATTTACATTTGGAAGTTAGCGGAGATGAGATGCAGTAATCTGGGGAACCTTTCATACGCAACCTTAGAACAAAAATAAGGATTTATAAATAAAAAATTGCAGGAACTACGAATTACTATTCAAGCTAGAGAATTCGAAAATTAGCCTCAAATAATTTAAAGCTTCAAAATAACTAGTTTAGGCTCTGTTGTTCAAACCTGGTTCAAGGTATTGATATTTGTCATTCCTCTTATGTATTTTACGGAATGCTGTTGAAAACCGTATATAGTAATGGATATCAAACAAGTGTAACTTTTTTATATATTGATAACATGGTGCATATTTTTGGTAGAATAGGTAAGTTCTTGGAATTTTGACATGTTCATCTTTTTGTAAATATTTTTGTCACATGAACTTTTTGGACGCCCAATAGCAATCTAGTATGTTGTCGTTAGAAGTGGTGAATTGGTCTGTTCACAGATCTGAATTGTTTATAGGTCAATGAATGTTCGTTATCTCCATCCTTTTTCATTTCGGTTTGAAAGTTAAACAAGCGATTTTAAAAAACAATTGAGTGGTTTGCTGTCTACGAATTTGCACAATTTATAACCAACAGAATGAAAATTGCCTTTTGAATCCATTCCCGTTTTTAGGATGAATGAATAAAGCAATTACCCTTTACAAGAATTTTTAAATCAAAGTCTGGGAGATTCAGGTGTCAGAGCAGGCATACAAATCTGGAATTTTAAAAGTCGTTCAAATCTAAAGGTGTACTATACAATTGTATCTTGATAATAGCAAGGACATACCCTCTACCGAAATAGAAAATCACATGATTCCTATTCGTGGTAAAGTAAAAAATTATTTCCTGACTTGTGGACAGCAAAAACACTGTTAATTTCCTGACTTATTACCAGCAAAAACACAGTTTACGTGATTAACATTCAGTACTGAACCGTTTTCCAAGATTATAGACTTAATTCTACATTGGGCCAGTGTTTAGGCCTCACAACGGATTACAGGCATTTTGAATACGTGACACCTTAAAATTTCTTCTTAAAGCATTTGACGTCAATCAGAAAAACTGCTGCTTAATTATAAATAACACTTAGATAAAAACCATTTCTTTTAAAATTCATCGAATCGGGGTAATTGGCTCAGGTCCCTTTGAAAATACATATTTGTACATATTATCTTCTTAAGAAAATATGTCAGATAAGATGTTTGCATGATTGAAAATAACCACTTAGCCGCCTACCAAGTTCAAAATCTATAGGTCCATTGTTCAGGCGCTAGGTTTGTGCTTACTTTACAAAATTTTTAATCATGGACACCTAGCTGCTATAATGATTACATGCATGGTAACAGTGAGAAATTATCCCTTAAAGCATAACGATAAATTCATGTTCCATGCGTGCATATTCCACCGTTGTTTAGGTTTATCATAAACTGAAACGCATTGCACCTTTGAAAATCTTCTTTACATATTGATATCTTGCATGGTGGTCAAAATTCTCTTCTCCAGGCCCATGGTTCTGGCCTAGTTTCGGGTAAAGGTATCCAACAAAACCGAATAATTCATCTTCACTGGATTTAAATTGGAACGCAATTTGTCATATATATTGCGACTATATTAAACTTATGAAAATCGTTTTTTTTTTTCTGCCTTATATTGAATAGCAATCTGTTATCCAAATTTTGTAAGTTTGTTTCCCCAAGTCCAGGTTAGAGAAACTAAGATTGCAGTTAATGTCAAATATTTTGAGCAACTTTGAAAGTCGTTTTTTGTTACTTGTGGAAATTTATCAAGGATTATCTTTGTTTTATCAAAGAGCTGCCACACTTAACTAGAAATTGTGAAATTTATGTCCACTGGAAACATTGTGCAGGCCCTCTATAAGGCTTATTTGTCAAACATTGAAATTCCATCAAAACTACTTAAAGCAGTTAAGTATCTATCATGCAATATTTTGCACTATTAAAATGAACTACATGTACTTGAATTGTAGAGTCCACTGTTCTAGGTGGGCTGAGTAAGTCATTATTGTATATATATATATATATATATATATATATATATATATATATATATATATATATATATATATATATATATATATATATATATATATATTCCCTTGATTTACTAATTGGGAAAAAGATACAAACTGCTATGCAAGATTATTGAGAACAGAATTGTGAAATTCATTTTCCCTGTGCGAGGATAATTTGGTATTCTCAAACATTTAATGTAGCCTTGTAGATCATGTCATTTTGTTGAAATAAACAAGCAAACTTTATACAAGATGACATGCAGCAAGTTGTTGTTCCATTGGGAAATTCCGAAATTTGTGTGTTCCAAGACCCAGAGTTTAAAAAATCTACAAATTGATGGTCAAATTTTCAATCCTACATATACTTGGATGCTTATTTACTTTGCCTTTTAACTGAAGCTAACGGCACTGTGATATGCAGTCTTAAATAACATTTTTTTTTTTTAATTTTGGACCGCCTGACTCTCCTATCTGTATCTATATGTCAAATTTGAGTTGAATGTGTGCAACTGTTGCAGAGATTTTGAACGGAAAGTGAATGATGACAGAATGACGGAACAGGGTAACACTATATGCCCCGGCCATTTCATGGCAGGGGCATAAAAAAGTTCACATTAAGCATTGACAAGTGGACGTTGGTATTCATGATGTACATGAGCATCATGTTTGGACACAATATGACTAAAGCTCAAGAAATTCTTTAATATACTTGCTGCTAGTCGTTCCAATAACTTAACCAGGTACAAGTGTGATAAACAATTTTGCCTGCACAAGGTATCTATTCAAATAGTTGGGGGTGGGGGGGGGGAGGGGGCACAGTAAGTTTGACTGATGTACATGAACAACCATTCAAATGTCAAATATACATCACAACAATCTGCAAATGCTAATTTATCCAACATGCCATGTAAAAATCACATGATTTTCCTCTTGAAAACCTGCCATTCAGTGAATTTTCAGGAGACTTTTAGTCATCGTTCAGTTAAGTGAATGGCTGAGTTTCATCCTGTGAATACAAACAAATGTCAAACAACTTAAAAGGTGAAATACATAAAACCAGGGTAAAATCTTCTCTAATAGTGTAGCGGGAAAGTCCATTTCCAGTAGCGCTGCCACCAGCTGATTATCTCCCATCAGCAAGGAATCTCAAATATGACCTCTTATAAAAAAAATAAAATGACCTGACCTATTCACTCTCAATACTTTTACTATGACCCTGACAATTACCAACACCTGAAAGGAAATCTTTAAGACCTGTTATGAGACACAAGTTCATAAAGTTAACAAATTTATTAATTCAAATCAATATACAAGCAAAATATCAAACAACGCGGCTGAGGACTTCACTCATGTGCGTCAAATTGTTTCACAAAACCGACACGATGACGAGATCGACCAATATCTTAGCACAATTAAAGGGGAACAACTCGGAATAACTCAATGTGACAAAACAAGAAGGATCAATCACTTCTTGCATAGAAATTAAAAGCTAAACTCATCTGAGACTATCGCTCATGAGTTTCTTTTCAGTAATTAGAAATAAATAAGCTATAGAATTCTCTGGGGAAAATCACCCTTAAGAATCTAGAAGTTCTTAATAAAATTTCTCTGAGGAAAAGCACTCTTGAGAAATACCCTAAGTCTTTATACGACAGTAATTAAATTGATGATCTATTACAATGATCACTTGAGACAATCATCAAGTTATGTTTTCAACAAAGACTTTTCTAAAATATAATTTCTCTCACAAATAATTCAAAAGAAAGCCTAATTTTAGAAATCAGATAGACCAGACTTTCCAATAAAGTTAGAATTAAATAACTCAGTAAAATTCTACCAAATCTAGTTTGCTATCAAATCTCAACTGACCAAAGTCTCAAACGAATCCTTAAAATTAGCCAAATAAATT